ATGACCCAGACCCCACCATCTCATGATTGTATGTGTGTGGAGTGATGCCATGTAGGTCAGTCTATGTGAGTCAGTCTATGTGAGTCAGTTCGTTATCAGACTTCCGCTGCATAAATGCTCATCCTATATTGGTTGATCTTTGGTTCTGCCCATACTCACTGAAGTATGTAACACTCTCTCTCTCTCTCTCTCTCTCTCACACACACACACACACACACACACACACACACATCCCAGTGAAGTGAAGGCGGGCCTGAATATTCATCAGAGGCCAAAATTCGACATTTTTATACGTGGGTAATCAGGATGTTCCAGCCCGTCAGTTGGTTGAGTGGACGCGAGAGCCTCACTAAGCTGCGTCATACAGTTGGCCCAGGCCTTGGCAATTGCGCCTGGGCACATACACATAATGCAGGGCCGATACATCACGAAGTGGCTACAGGCCTATGCAAAAGCAGCTCTGTCGACGTACATACCCCTGGGTCCTGCGCAAATGCAGGAAACGGCCCAAGTCTGGAGGCTCAGGCCGTGCCCAACCGTAAAGGGCCTTGGGCCCGGGCGCAGGCACGGGGCCCCGACTGGAAGCTACTGGAAGCTTCCAGCCAGGCCACATGCAGCCACGCAGAGGCTGCCATTTCCATATAGGAAGGTGGACAGCCAGGGCAGGGATTCTGGGCCATGCAGCCAATGCGGTCATGCTGCTGCGTTGCTGCCTTAGAGGCTGCGTGCTGCGCTGAGGCCAGAGCGCGTGCGGGCGCGTCGGTGGTCTTCAGGAAGGAGGTGAGTGTGGGTGGACAGGGTCTGATGAGGGGAAGCGAGATACGTACCTGGTAAATGGAAGAGGTCGGCTATGGTGTTGACGTCATGTACATTGGTCTTCGAGAGTCGAAGTGAGCCTGTTGCGAGAATGCTGATGTAGGTAGGATAGTCAGGTAGTGTAGGTGTAGGCTGGGCGCTGGGCGCCAGACAGAGAGGAGCGACTTTGGATACTGTGTTGGTGTGGCCTGAGGGCTTGAACATTGGAACATTACTTCATTGTATTGCTCTTATTTGGATGGGATCTCGGTGCATTTGTGCTCTCTGCTTGTACACGACTACCTGACACCTGTGTGATTTCGCAACTTGGTTTTCTGTATGTCGTTCCCAGTCACATTCCTTGCAGTTTTACAAAGGTGGCCTATTTGGGCCGCCGATCTCTCAAGGAGACGTCCACGGCCTGCGTGGCGGTCCAGGCAGGCCTATCGGACCCGGTCCTTTTTTTTTTTCTTTTTTTTTTTGTCCAGGAGACGTCCACGGCCTGCGTGGAGGGCCAGTCGACAGGCCAGTTCCGGTCGGGGGKGGGGCCCCTGGTTGGACCAGAAATATAGACCTGTCTCACAACCATCTGGATTCAAACTCCGGTCTGTATTCAACAGCTCATGGGTGCACCAACTGAGCTACGCTGGTTCCCCTGACAATTTTTCTCGAATTGGATTGCATACCTAGCCCCTGAGACTTATACCCAGCCCCTGATATTTTTGCCCAATCGTACTGCATGCTCATCCATGTACCTCCCAATCCCACAGAAACACTGCCCAGATCTACTGACCTACAAAAAGCCTGCCAAGGTCAAGCTTAAAACATCACACTGAGCAAAACCTGATTTGGCCAAATCCAGGGATCGAGTCCCAGTTGAGGTCAAGACACACAACTTCGCTATTATAGGGGTGTTGGTGGGGTTTTCTTTCTTTCTTTTTTTTCTTCTTTTTTTTTTTTGCGGGGTGCTGACCGACCGCAGACTGGTAGGTGCGATGGTTCGCTCGTCAGCCTTCGACCACTCCAGGGGTGACAAACACGCAAGGCGAAGTATCTGCACATTTCTAGAAGAGCAGGAACGTATTGCAATAATGAACTGCCATGATGAACAAGTTAGAACAACATCACCAGTGCAAAAAAAAAAATTCTGATTCACCTTAAAAATCATCATTTTGACATTTTCAACATTTTGACATTTCCATTTTCACATGTGGAAGGACAGTAATATGTACCTAGGACACAACTGCAAGGAATGTCATATATCTTTGCCCACATGGACAAGGAAAACTATTGGATCCGGATCTATGGGAGGGGTTGGTAGTCCGTTGGGGGACATTGGGTGCAGAGTGGTTGTCGTCGGTTTTTCAATGTAAGGCTAAGGCACAGCGCTCAATTAGTCTGAAACACTTGTCAGAATGAGGTGTTGAAACAGGGGTTGGAAGTCGGCTGCACCACAATCCCCGTCACCCTCTCAGACTTAGCACGCTAGCCAGTCAGGGATTGGCCAAGTCAGCCTGCCGGAGCTGACTAGTACCGCCATTATAGTCCACACTTGCATCCAGCCCAACCCAAGACGGTTAGCGGAAGACACAAAAACACCAAAATCCTTTCCACTGCCATGCATGGAAGATTCACTCCTCTGACTGTCCTGTTTTGAAACTCTAAATGCAAAAAAGGTAGGTGACGGAAGAAAGGATGGTAAACAAACATTAAAAAAGGCAAGCAGAAGTGAAGGGGAGAAAGGAAAGTGAGAGAGTAAAGGAAGATCAAGGAAGGAGGGTACAGAAATTGAAGACTGCAGAAGAGAGACCAATGCAGGTGTGTCAAGGAATAAAGGAAGGTACCGGAGGGTAGGCAAAGCAACGTAAGTTAGGTAAATGGAGATATTGTACGGCAGGTAAATCAAGAAGGGAACAGAAAAGAACTTGGCGGAAGTAATACGAACCCAATAAAAGGTTGGTGAAGGAAGAAGGAAAGGACACAAAAAACCATGGTGAAGGGGAAAAGGACGTTAGGACACAAGGGAAGATCAACGGAGAGGAAATAGAGAAACATCTATAGGAAACTTGAGGATTGTAATAACAATGTTGAAGCTAATGTACCACACCTTTTCCTAGTTGTTGTTCGTGAGCGTCTCACCCCTCCTCTACATGCTGTCCTTCCCTCTCCGTCCTCCTACTCCTGCCCTTGTCCTCGTTTGTTTTCATCAGTGTCATGCACAGCAGCTGTGATCACACCGTCCTTCTACAACCACCACTGCACCTGGTCTTTCTTTTCTAACCCTACCTCCTCTGTACCTTTTTGGTCCTGCTCTTCCTGCCTTGCTTCCTCATTCAATGGTCATCACATCGTCTCTTCATCCACTATTTGATGTGCCAGGTTATCCTCCTCCTTCGCCTACTCCCAGCTCCTGTCATCTGTGTCATGCTCAGAAGATGCAACCACATCCTTCTAGTCCAACCATCACAGCTCCATGGTCTCTATATTTTCCTTCTCGGAGTTCTCTCCTCTTTTCCTTTCTGGTCCTGCCGTTCCTGCCCTGCATGCTGCTACTACTCGTTCACTTTTCGTCAGTTGTCCACCTCTCCTCTACTCCTGCTCCTCATTCACTGCTGTGTTGTGCACAATTGCTTGAGACACGCCATCAACACAAACTCCTTTTTGTCCTCTTTTCTTACCCATTTCCTGCTTTTCTAGTTCTTTGTCCTCATGCCTGTATTCCTACGATTCCATCTCCTCCTCCTGCTACCCACCTCGTCTTCCTCTTTTTCCATCTATGAAGATGGATGAGTAAAAGTTCAGAGCCTTGGTTCATGGAGTGCTCACATATAAATAAACCCCTACATGTGAATGGGGCATTTCTATGGCTGCATCTCATACAAACCAAGGAGTTCAGCCTTTAATTTCCCTCCTTTACCTCCTTGCACAGAAGCAATGAGGTCGAGTGCACATACACTGTCACAATAGCTCTTAAAAGGCAAAGCGTGACCATCAGGGGGCAAAGCATCACCATCAGGATAAAACAAGATTATAACGAAAGTGATGGATGTTAAGGACCATACCCGGCTGTGTTCTGGTGCTGACAGTACTGCTTCCCAAAGCGCTCGAAGCTGGTGGGCATGCAATGGTGGCCATCCACACAATTTTGTCATCTGGAACACACACAGGAGCATCCACTCACTCTGCAGTATCTGTGATCGACTAACTTGGACATTCCCTGCAAATGACTGTGAGTGCCCATTCCCTGAGGGCACTCCCATATCTTCCATTGTATCAACCCCATCACTGCCAACAGAGTATCCATCCAAGCTGTCAGCAAAGCTGCCAAAGCTGAGCCGGCTTTCAAGGAGTTGCAATTGATTGAGCCCACTGACAACCTTGCCAGTCTTTGAGGTAAGCAGTAAACCAGATCCTCCACGAGAGCCCACACCAGGAACTTCCTTTCCAGGGCTGTCGAATACAGCTGAATGATTACTTCCAGCACTACCACTTCCCACACCTCCAACGTACTTTTCATTCAACGATATCGAACGTGCCGATGCGTTAAACTCTGCACGCTCACTCACTGACCGTGGAGTGCAGGGATTAGAGGAGGAGTCGTTGACTTGCTGCGATGACTGCACTCTGAGCTGGTATACCTTCTCTTGCTCAGCCAGGAACACTGTACAAAAGTTTTCTGCCCATGGTATCACTATGCTCAGCATCGTAGGCAAGGTTTCTTTTGACAGGCATGGCTGCAACGCCAATGCTTCCTGTGCAATTCAAAAACAAAAGTCCATGTAAGTCAGACACTTCAGATGGGTCATCACCTCAAGATTTTACCTTGCTACAAAGCTGAACCGCCATCATAATAGGGAGTTTACCTGTCATGTCACCTGCTGAAAATCCAGAGCATCTGGACGACAAGAAAATTTAGAAGTCTGATGTGTACATCTGAACCCTAAGGAAATTTTCAATACAATCACGTAAAGAGAACTGAGTGAAAACGTAAGGACTTTTAAAGTTTTTATTACTTTTTAATACAAAGCTTCGGTGCAAACAGAAGACATTGTGCTATTGCAATATAACTTCATCATGTATGCGACACAGATTTATAGTTTAATTTTAGTCTCCTGCTCCTTAAAAATATGAGAATTTCCCGATGGTTTCTCTTTAGGAGCACACGTCCAAAAGGCAGATTTGGCAGCCTGATCTAACTCTCTAGTAACTTTTGGAGGGTATTGTGGTTGGCCTACTCCCCATCTTCACCCGAATCGAACGCCCGGTCATTATAGCTGAGCTTGGAGCAACTTTTAGTCTCCATACCAGGCATTCTTTTTCTTTTTTTTAAGAAAAGAGGGAAATACAGCTGTCTTCTCCACATCCGGGGACAAGCTGTACTTTACTACCCTATTCTCTCTTCTCTCAATACTATGCCTATTTCACACTTGCTACCTACCTACATCCTTCCTCAAGCTTCCTACCTATTGTACCATCCCAGTGGTTTAGTCTATAGAGACAGCGTGACTATGAAACCCTACCTATGAAGTCTGGGACAAGGCTTAAATTCCCTAGCTAGAGCTAAACTATCGTAAGGTTATGGGTTGATCCTACCTATCTCTGCTCTTGTGCAGGGAGCAGTACCCAACCTGCTAACACCTGGCGTGGGTACGTCCAGAACCAGCCAGGAGGCCCAAACCAACAGTCTCCGCTGGTGAACCTAAAGCATACCCCCAGGAGGCCACAGGGATTGAAATGACGACGCTGGGTTTCGAACCCACAACCTCCTTAGTGCAACTTACGTGCTCAACCAACTGAGCTAGCCCGCTTGGGCATTCTACTATTCGGTGAAGATGTGGCATTCTATTCGGGTAAGCCTGTACCCTTACTCGAAGCAACAGTGATGCGGGTCCATATACATGAATGGATCCTGTAAAAGGGTTTGAGTATGTTTTCATGAAAAGGTTCTACATCGGGTAGGCCTGTATCTTCATTGCCATGCCTTTGTACCCATTGCCGTATTCAGTCATACATTTAAGTCCATGTGCTCTGGTGACTAGCTAGAATCTGTGCGCGGGTGTGCATGTTTGTGCACGTGTATGCATGTCCTTTGTAACATCTCCTCATATCAACGCACCCGATTAACTGAAAATCCACACAGGTTATAAACCACAGCACACAGCCCCAGTCTTGCAAAAAAATATTTGTCGCCTACTCTACGGCTCAGGCCTAACAGACTGGCGGCACCATCCAAAAAGAAAAAAAGTGCGCTGCTGACAGTTTGGAGAAGCTTGGCCCGCAGTGCAGTGCCTGCAGGCCCAGGTGTACCCGGGGTTTAAGAAGAGTGCAAGGTTGCCTAGCTTCGTGTGGTCGAGTTCCGGGTGCCCACATAACCATCTCCTTGTAAGGTACACTTGGACATCATTAAGAAAGTGGGCAGATAGGCAAGGTAGAACCACCTGCAACCAACAACAAAAGTCACAAGCCAGTCCATGTGGCCAACGGCTGCAATTAAATAAGAACTTAAATAGTTCATTCCTGTGACACAAATTCACACAATAGACAGCTGCCAGACCTAATTGTGAAAACCCAAAGGATTAGCTTGGTTCAGTGACTACTCCAGTTGACCTTCCCAAATTTACACAGACTTCATCAACAAAATCCCAGCAACCCACTCTATCGAGCACAGAATGTGCAAGGGACATTCAGAAACACAGACTTGACAGGCAGAGCTTCCCAGCAAAGAAGACGAGAAGGGAATGGTGGCTCTAACACTAGCCAGAGTCGGCGAGGATTGACAACTGTGAAAACCACTCACCATTGCATGAGGAGCATTATCTACCCAAATTTTATTTGAGTTTTTAATACTTTTTATGTGTTATTAACTTGTTAAGTAATATGATGGAATACCAAAAATAAGTCGAATTCTCAAATTATGAAAACAATTCAAAACTCTGCAATCACCTGTGCATGAGTACCATATTTCACCCATGCGCAAAATGAAGGACTGCCAAATAAAATCCAAAGTCGACAACAGGATTGTGATGATGTCCCAATTGTCCCAGAAACGGAACTATGGTACATCAGACAAAGACAATGCAGATCACACATGCTTTGAAACACATTCCAAACAACTGTAGAAGAAGACAGCTTACCCTCAGGACGGCAGGAGTGTACTCAGGATGAGCATTGGCAAGAGACCTTGACGTGGCCACCGCCGCCTCAATGTACACATCAGGTGGTGCATGAGCACTTGCAGGTAGTATACCCCATCCTGGAGGTGTTGGGTCTGCAAGAAAGAAATATGCATCATTCGACCACAATTACTGTGACTGGAAACATGCTCAGATTTTTGTGGTTAGGACTCAGGAGAAACCCTTGACAGTAGTGTGTGCCACCGTTCTTGAACTCTTGCCTTGTAGGTACATAACTGTAGAGGGAGCACAGGGTTTTTTTTTGGGGGGGGGGTGCTGAACCAGCCACGTAAGCATTAACTTTCTGATCACATACTCCTTATCATTCCAAATGAGGGCAGCAACATTTCTGGGTTTTTTTTTTTCCCACAAGAAAGTCAAATGCAGAGAGATACAGAGTGAGTGAGGGGGAGTGCATAGCCTGCAAAGTTACTAAGTTGCAGAGGCTAAGTTGGCTGTGTCTGAAAGGGTGGATGGGGGCTAGGTAGTCGTGCATTTCAGGCGCCCAGCAGCAAGGCTGAAGAGGCCCCTTCTTCCTCCCTCTCTGGCTACTCATCTTCCTGCTCAGTTAATCCCCTGTTCTCAGGGCAATCAATGCTGGCAGTCGGTCAGGAAATCTTCAGAGAAACCTCAATGGCTTTTGTTAATGGACACTGGACCTGTTTTCCAGCAGGTGTTGCTCCCCACCCATAAATGGAGCCTCCCCGAGGGAGATAGAGGCGTCTGCTCATACCAGCGCCCCTAGCTACCAAATGGGCAGCTTTTTGCAATAAATAAATACATAAATAAATAACGCACAGAGGTACCCATTCGGCACAGAACTCTCATTGTTCCTTCGTCACGGAGGTGCTTAACCCAATCCACACGCCGTAGATTCATTCCCGCATGCTGAATCATGTCTGCTTGGAAACCTCAATCCCAGTTGTAAGTAGTGGGATCCAAAAGCATGTTGCAGTGTGAAGATGTTACTGCTAACTGATGGAACACTCATTTCCTTTAGGGAGGCCACTTTCTTTTCTAGAGGTTGAGCACTATCTTTTCCCACTGTCAAGCTAAACGCTTCCAGATACCTACTCCTATCAAGGCTGGAACTTCCTTGGGCATTGTCTCTCCTACCCACTGACCATAAAACAGTTGTAACGCGTTCGACATACCGATCAGGCTTCATTTCCAAAATTCTCTGCCTGAAGCTTCTATGTAGATACATGAATCTCCTCCCTACTTCTGCAGCTAAGAGCTGGTGGTCTTTACCGTCCCTATACTTTTTGCAACTCTTCTTCCCCAGACTCTCTACGTGTGTCCGAAAATTAATACACATTTTCCACAACTTTACCTTTCCACAACTTCACCTTCCCTTCTGTGCCAGTCCCGTCTAAGCTTTTACTCTAGGAGCTTAGGACGGACCTTTCTGAGGCGTGTCGATGGCGAGCGCGAAGGTGGCGGGCTGGCGCAGGGGCAATGGCCCTAGTGGGCTCAGCTGCAGGTCGAAGTTCACGTCCGCTCGAACGAGCGCGGCGTCAACCTCAACGTGGTCTCCCATGGGTGGGGTCGCTGTGGTGGGTGGGAGCAGGAAAGCTGTAAGGTGGTAGGCTCACATTTTCAAATTCGAAAACAACCGACTGTAGGACCCCGGAATTTTGAAAGATCACGCAGCGGATCTCCACCGCCGATCTCTGATGATCAGCGGTGGAGATATGCCGCGCATTCTCCCGAAATTACGAGGTCCTATAGGCCCCCCCTTTTTTTTTTTTTTTCAACGCT